TATCAGGACCTCTGATCCAAAACTTCTTCTGTCTGAGGAGAATGTGAAAGACTGAAGATCAGGCAGACAGAAGGAAAGGTACTCGAAAGGCTGAGACAGTACATAGGCAAGACTTGGATGCTGCTGCTTGGCCAGCCAGGACCTGCTGAAAGGATTTCTACCTGAGGGGAGCCCCAACAGTTACCACAAAAGTACACTGAAAATATTGAATGTAGGGCTCCTGGATATCCTGCTAAAATGTAGTTTAGAAACGTGAGAAGTGTGAGAAAAATGCAGTGACAAACTAGCATTTGTCACCAGAGGACTGTGTAAAAGTCCTCTCAACAAAAGAACTTCAGAGACATTGATAAAATGGCAGAGGGAACATACTGGGTAGTGTTTCTAATGCTGGTTTTAAAACCAGCATTTTGGGCCGTGGGACCAAACTTGCTTCTAAGCTTCAAGCAAACCTAGGATGAGAACATTGAAATCAACTGAATAGATGCAGGGAAAACTACTGATTTGATAACTAAGAGGGAGGTCTGCAGGGTTGAGTGAGTAGGAAATAAAATAGAATCAGGAATTTTCATTTTTGGATGACCGGAAACTATAGATTCCCCAGACCATAGATCTTTTAAAGGTCACCATTATCACAGCTTGAGCTCTCAACCAAGCCTGAGACTTAGAATATACTAAATTTTATTCAACATTTATGACTAACTTAAAAGACAGTTACATCACAGCCAAAAAGAAAGAATGGCTTTTTGCCTTGTTTTTTAGAAAAACATGGTTCACTTCCCTTCTATCCAAAAGGCAAATTTCTATGAATAAAAGGATGGGTATAGGAAATGTATGTGGTAAAGAAAAGATTTCTCCACAGTCCTTCAGAAGTTGGAAAGCTGTGGCTGCAGGTTGGACACACCTGGCTTGCCTGGGTCTCAGTGAACAGAAACTGTTCAGGCTGCATACAAAATACACAATTAGGGAGCCGGGGAGATGGCTCAGTGGAATAAACGCTTCCCTGGCAAGCGCAAGGGCCTGAGTTCAATCCCCTGTTCTGCCAAAATACACAATTACTGTAACATAACTTCCTTAAGTTTTAAAGTGTTAACATAGGCACGACTAGCCAGTGGGCTGCAGGTGGGGCATGCCTGCAAGTCTAGACCAGCCCCTCTCTAAACGTAATGACCAGAAGGCAATCTGTCCACTCAGCAACTACAGTTCTTTTTCCTTAGATCTAAGATTCTACATACCATCATTTTCTTAAATCCCTGGCTTCTCCCTCCTCCCTTACATTGATACCACCAGCCTGGCCAGGCATTGACTTGGCAATGCTCAAACTGTTCTCTCACTGTGAAAGAGGGTATCACTTCTTTGGCTCAAGCAAATATAAGCATTAAAATCACTAGTAACCTGCAAATATAAGCATTAAAATCACTAGTAACCTGCCTTGCCTTCTACTCCTAAGTCACTTTATTCTTCATGTTGAACTTAAATACTGTTTTCTCGCCAGTTAATCCACCGGTGTTTGTCCTCAAACTATATATCAGAGACATCTAAGATGGAAATGCCCTTGATGAGAGCTGATGCTCCTGCAGCTTGGTGCACACAAGCTTAACAGCGTCGATGAATACTTGTGCTTGCACCGTCACTCCCAGTTTCTAATGCCCAGCTTGACTCTGCTTCATGCTCATCAGCCACGGATCTAAGCAAGAAGCAGCCAGGACTGGAGGTGAGTGTTTGGCAGGAACTGGGAAGGAGAAGAGAATAAAAGTAGGAGACGGTTCCTATCATTAGATGTAGCAAAAATGGGGCTCAGTATTGCTTGAGAAAAACCTACCAGCCTGTTAGCACAGCCTTCCCAAATGACTGCCACCCTTTGGTGCAGCGATGAAGAGTCCACTGCAGAGGCGCGGAAGTGCAGGTGGTCCCTAAGGGTACTACACAAAGCTGACAAAGGCTGCTTCCCTGCCTTCAGGCAGCTCAGTAGGTACAAGAAAGTATGAGCCACCAGTGTATCAAGAGAGACACTTTTCTGAGGGATTCTGTCACTGGTTTTGTGGACACAGGGACTCTTCCCCATACATCCTTCCCATGTGCAGTGAGGTGAGGGAAACAGGTGAAGTTGTCCCTAACTTCCTCACACAGAAAATGGAAGGAAAATATGGGACGGGCAAGATGGAACAAGAACAGCGGCCTAGTTCATCACAAAAATAATGAAAAAGAAGAAAGTAGGCAGGGATGGAAAGGAAAAGTCAGCAAAAATGCTTTTCCCATTGATGGGCTGCCTTTTGCTTTTTCCATGTTAAGTAGATAAGGGTATAATTACTGATTTGCTGTAAAGTGGTCAAGTGTGAAGCTTTGGCTTACAAAGATCTGAATGCCCATCTATTTCAAAGAACATTCTTGATCCTGTCTGTACCACATGAATGGAAGCCAAGGGTGTCCCTACAACAGCTTTCTGGCTAGCAATCAGATCTGACAAACCAGGAGCAGCACCCACAATCCTGAAATCCAATTTCAGAGGCCACTTGAACACCTGAAAGCAGTGTGAGTTTCAGTCATCAGACACTAGTGCAGTGACACACACTGCTTGTCTGAGCCGACACCCATGCCGGGTGATAGGGGCCTGTCCAGTACTAGTTGTTAAATATTTTGAAAATCATCTCCGCATTAAAATAACTACGTTCCTAAAAATAAAATAAAAATGAAAATCACCACCTAAAAGTTACAGAAATATGGGGAAAACTAAGCATTCTTACAACATCAGTCAAGTCTTTAGGACTAGACTGCATTAATGTATTTTAAGAGCTAAAGGAGGGCAAAACTCAACATAATGATGTCGTCAACTCTTCATCTATGCACCTAAAGCACACTGGGGATTTTCCCACTGTGCAAAGATTTTCCAGGATGGAAAACAAACATGATTAAATTCCCTGGGTGCTAACAGGCTGGCTAGTCACATTCTGTGCGCAAAGGAAGGAAGGTCTGTATATATGCACTAGAGCCCGCACCCTTGACATTCACTGCAATGTACAAGAGAAAAAAAACATACGTAGTTTAGAATACTGAAATTAACTTCACCACTTACAGTTCATTTCTCAGGGTGGCTCTTTACATCTAAGAACCAGAACTGTTGTCAACTAAAAAACACCCATGGTGAAGAAACCGTATGGCTAAAGGTGGTTTGGTCCACTGAGCTGATGATGGTTTACTACTAAGGCAGCTAAGGAGACAGTACATAAGCACTTGGATCTCTCCAGGATGCAATAAGAATATTTCCTCAAAAGACAGCAGCAAGACACCAAACAGTCCCATGAAACAGCCGATAAAAACACCATATCCCTCTTTCTACTCACAAACAACTGTTATCAAATCTTTTCTAGATATCTAGAAAGCACACACTATGACAAACCTTCAGGCTATGAAGTCCTTCCTGGTATCTAACTAATTCTTTCTATAGCAATTTAGGCTCATTCTCTCATTCTATATTCAATAAAAACCAAGAGAAGCTGCTCATCCTCAGTGGTCTTTACTAATCCCACCCAAGCCTTTTTCCTAAATAAGCTGAACAACTCCAATGTCCTTCTTGACCCTTGTGTCTTCCAAGGGTTTCATTTGAGTTGTGCAGACTGCTGCTAGGGAGCGACAAAGACACTCCAGGTCAGAGGCCTGTGCTGGCTGGGGTGGTGGGCAGTGCCAATGCCCAGATGGCTCACCTTCTGATAGCAGAGCCCCTGACAGCCTCAGGGTCTGACTAGCATCCTCCACCAGGATGGGCATGGAGCTGAGGCCCAGGGCCACCCAGGAGCTCAAAGACACCAGAAAGACTAGGACCTTCCCTTTCCTTTCTGTTTTCCTGCTACTCTCCCATCAGCACTTAGGAAGAGGGGCCTCAATGAAGGAGTCCTCATGGCAGAATGGAAGAGGGGCTTCACTGAAGGAGTCCTTATGGCAGAATGGATCCATGTGGCTCAGCAGGCCAGCAGAGTTTCAGAGAAAATGTCTGAAAAATGGGAAGCTGAGTCTTTAACGGTGGCAGTTCTGAAGAGAAAAGAAGAGAAGGACCAACAGGAAGTGGCCTTCTGCTGCCACGCTTGCATCTGGTGCCTGGCTGTTGGTATGGGGGTGGCAGGATGCCCTCCAGTGCACACCAGGAATGACTGAATGCTTCGGCAAGGCTTGAGATGACCATAGATGGGGCCAGAGTTGGTCTTGATTCTTCTCCGAGAGACTCACCGATTTCTCTTCACTCCCCTAAGCACCTCATGGCCCAAATCTTCCATTCCAACAAAGACTCTTAGTTGAAGAGACTGAATAAAAGTGTTACAATGAGAAAAAAAGGGAACACATGATTCATTCCTGCTTTTAACACAATACTTTACAGATGTCACCACAATTTAGATCTGGCTGTATTTTAAGTTCATTTACAAGTAGACTAGTTCTCAACTAAAAATAACTGTGTGCGGTATACAGTTCGACAGCTGCCTGGATTTTCCTCTGAAGGAAATAAGATTCTATATTTCACTCACATTCAGTACAGATTTATTTTAACCCATTCAATGAAGAAATAACGATTAGCACTCACTGGTGTTATGACTTCAAATCATTTCAGTTTCTCCTCAGACCAACCTCATATTATCCCCATTTTACTGGGGAGTATACTGAATGTCAGAAATAGTGGTATGCTACCTTACGCAGGAGCAGGAACAGATTTCCTGATTTCCCATCTTAAAAAATCAATTTTTTTGTTAAACACAAAAGTCTTTAATAATGCCTCAATTTTCTGATTACTTTACCTGTACTTGACTAAATTCTTCAAGTATTTTGAACACATAGCCTACCTCACTGCAGGTAGAAATATCTAAAGTCCTTCAATTTTCTTCATTAACCTGATCAAAACTAATCTACACTACTATCAAATGATATATAATTTATTTTGCAAAATAATGTATTTATAATTTAATATTCCAAAATTTTGGCAACAATTCTCATTGTGAAAATTCTTTTTTTTTTTTTTT